CCAGATAACAAAACGATGGCTTTATTATTTCTTGAAACTATTACATAGGTGTTCAAGTTCACCCTAGACTATGCCTCTAATAGGCTACATCATATGAAACTACGGCTACTGCATAATCCAATCTTTGGATGAGAAATCCTCATCCTTGCTTCCTCGCGTTGATGTCTGCTTCATCGAGGATCATGTGGAATGCCCTTGGTTTCGACGGTGCTTCTGGCCTTGTTGCTTTATTTTTCTTTGGGCAATCTTTAGAAATATGCCCTTCTTTGTTACATCCGTAGCACACCTTCTTGTTGGACGTGCAGTTGTTGGCGTAATGCCCTGTCTTTCCACATTTGTAGCAAGTCATCCCCTCGCTACACTTTCCGAAGTGTTTCTTCTTACACTTCTCGCACCACTTAGCTTCACCTTCTCCTCCAAATTTTGAGATTTTGCTTTCTTTGTTGGTCTTTGAAGATCCCTCATGCTTCCTTTTCTCGCCAACTCCGACCTTGTTGGCGACTCTACTCTTGATCATCTCTTCTACAGACTTAGCAGCCCGGATAGTTGCCTCCAGAGTATGTGCCTAACGTACCGACACCGCATACTCCCATGGGAGTCCCTTGGCATACTTGTCGATTTTTGTTAATTCATCCGGCACAAGACGCAAGGCAAACTCCATCTTTTCTGTGAAGTTGTTGGTGTACTCATCCATTGACATGCTTCCCTTCTTCAGGGTCAGGAACTGGTTCTCTAGCTCGAGCAGGTTTTGGGTTGAGCAGTACTTGCGTTTGAATTGCACCAAAAACTTTGCCCATGTCAGTTGCAGGGGCTCAAAGTCTTCCCCAGGGTGTTCCACCAACGAACTGCGCCTCCTCGGAACAGACGCACTGCAAACGTGGTTTGTAGCTTGCCTTTGCAACCACATGTCATGAAGGCTAATTCCATCTCCGAGATCCAATCCATAACTCCGATCGGATCTTCCTTCCCAATGAAAGTCGATGGCTTGCAAGTTAGAAAATCTTTGTACTTGCATCCATTCCTCTCGACTCCATCATCTTGGTTGTTCCTTCTAATTATCGGCGGATCAGCTTGACCAACGGTCCTGCTGTAGTTTCCTTCCTCAGACTGCCCATCGTTCAATTCAGGCTCTTCAACAGACATCGTAGGTTCATGCCTCTCTTGTAGCAGTAACCGCCTTGTTTCCTCCATTTGGCGATCCAACATCATCTGGATCATCGCTTGTACTCCAACCATTGTGATTGGTTCGGGAGCGGCTACCACCACGGGTATTTTCTCAACCACTGGTGGTTGATTCCTGTTCCCATTCGCATTCCCAGCTCCACTGCGGGTTCTTGCCATCTTGATCTATACACCGAATACGGTGAATTTAGATCCTTATTTAGGATAGACGTTTAAATCATCCTTATCTCTCCGAAACGTTTACATGTTAGTTCTAATATCGTAATCGTACGTTTAGAATCCTAAACACATAAGGTTTCCAGATCCGGTCGACAACAGACCATAAATCCGAACAAATAACAGCATATAAGGCATAAATCATTTAGCACATAAAGCATATTAGGCATTTTCCTAAATAAGCTAGTGCTTGTGTCTATTCAGGTGTATTACCTAAATTTATTCCTCACGATCATCACTTAGCATTCTAAGTTTAAGTCTAGAAATAAATCCATATTCCTAGTTCGCTTAAACTAATGCTCTGATACCAACTGTGACATCCCCATTTTCTTGGCCAGAAAAGACCGATTTTGTTTATGCTTTATTAAAATCAGAGTACTTCTTTTAATAAAAATGTTGCGGAATTTGTTCCCAGTAAAACATGATAAATACGTTATCAAAGCATTTCCGAAGAAATGAATTTTTTATTCATTTTCAAAACATTGGGATGTCATCGTCAATACAGAAACATAAGCATAAACAGAACTTACATTTATTTACACTAGTGATCTACATCTCTTTTAAATCTCCCAGTGTAAAATGGCTTCATATCGACCCCTGTGATACAAATAAGCTTGAGTGGGTCAGGTTGGGAAACCTGGTGAGTACATAGGGTTTTCAACCCACAATAATATAATTATTATGTTTAAACAACAAACAATCAACCCAATTACCCTTCCCCATTATCTTCTTTATTCTACCCTAAGAATCAACTATTCCTCGTTCATTTATTCCTAAGGATTCTCCTAAGGAATCGGCACGAAATCCATCGTTGCCAGAGTCTACTCATTTGGCACTACGTCGCATAGTCACCAGGTTTTAGGCACTAAGTCTCATAGTCTCCAGGGTTTATACAACAGTCACTACGTTGCATAGTCGCCAGGGTTTAGACACTATGTCTCATAGTCGCCAGGGTTTGTTTATCGACAGTATCGTTTCCGAGAATCCACTCGCAATACATGTCAATGGGTTTTTAGAGTACATTTGGTGAATACACAGTTCAAAACACCTACAGGTTGCGAGCCTGCTAGTGTCCACTAGACTGTCTAGAATAGTCTGTGGTTGTCATCCATACTCTGCTGAATGACGGGGCCAACACATGGGTAAAAGACTTCTCTCATGGTTTACCTCTCACCCTTATCTCATGGTCTATATCACTTCTCATCATTTTATTTTTGTCACACGGCAACTATTTCATCTACCCATGTTTTACCCAACACATTTTGTAGATATAAAATACATATATAGTTTAAATCATTTAAAACATGTATAAAAATCTTTCACCCAGCACAGACGACAAGTATACAGACAATATGCACACATAGCACGTAATTTATATTAAATACTTCATATCTATGTGTAAGATGAAAGAGACTATGCACTCACCTGATTAGGTGGTGACTCGGTACTTGAACAGCACTCCGTTATCTCAAAACAATTTTTCCTTGACCAAAACCTAGTATCAATACCACTAGAGTTTAGTTTTAACGTTAACCGCGACTAATTAATAGTCTAGCTATTATTATTAGTATATAAGCGTTAAATAACACTCAATATAACTCATAATAATAACCCAAATAATTATTTTAAGGACCTAATAACATTACTATAATTATTTAAAAGCTATATTAAAAATTGCGTAGGCGTAGCTCACTTACAGCGGGTTTTCTTAAAAACCGGACTTTGCTCGGAGCAGCGTTTCCGAACCGAAAGACCCTTTTCTCGGGACTCCGGGAGCCTCGGGGCTTCCTTCGGGTGCTAGGGGGTTTACCTAGGCTTTAAGGGGGTTTAGGGGGCTAGAGAGAGAAAGTAGTGAGAGAAAGAGATAGTAAATTAGTGAGAAAAGAGGTTGCACCTCGCATGCTATTTATAGGGCCGAGCTGCTGGGAACGCGCTGCTCTCCTCGGACCTACGTTGGGCGTTCCTCGGACGCAGGGCGTAGACTTCCAACGCGGTGCGTTCGTACGAGACGTGTCCGAAGCCTGATGGTGCGACGTGGCCTTCTCCGAGACCACACGTAAACTAGTTAATATAGGATTGTGAGACCACTCTTCATTTGTACCCTTCTGGGTACTGGTAAAATCCTCAACGTTTAGTGTAACCAGAGTTTCCTGGAGGGAGAGCGTGAAATTTGTGAATAGATCTATTCGGGACTGACAATCTCACACCTAAACTGCTAGCTATAGTTAGGGAGGCATGCCTGGGGTGACAAATATCATACCATACGACGCCTGAAGAACGTCGCTGAGGTCATCAGTCATATCAAGCATGGTTATACGAACTCACAATAGTATAAACTAACCTTTTGTTTACGGGATTTCATTCTTTAATGGTTTTATTTTAAGTAATAAAACTACTATACATATTGGTGTTAGCCAGGGTTTTCATACTATACATTACTTACATTACTCGTGGTAGCCAGGGATTTCATACAAGAACTTTCATACAAAACAATACAATACAACTGGTGGTACCAGACATACATACAAGTACTTTCAGTCACAAGAACATAATTCAATAATGAAATTACAATTGGTCTTGGGGCTAAGACTACTTTTCATTACTTAAGAAAATATTGGATTTTCTTGGAAACATACAAACATTTCTACAAATTCATCAACAAATTTTCACTACAAAACATCGCTTATGAACTCACCAGCTTTATGCTGATACTCTTTCAAAACTGCTTGTATTCTCAGGAAATCAGTAGACATATACCTCCTGGAGTTTTGAGAAGACAGAGCAACTAAAGTCGCGTCTTTATATTTTGCTTACACTTTTGATGTTTACAAACAAGACTTAAACAGATGTAAACCTTTTCATATATGTATTCAATGTAATGGTTGTGTTTACTATGATTGTTATGATACAATTGTTGTGATACTATACATGACGTCATCCACCCCCGAACGTTTCCGCCGTTCCGGTAAAAGAGAACCCTAAATTCTAATCTTAAGAAATCAGGACCATTCATTACATTTCAATCCTTAATTTTTCACCCTTGGATTGTTTGTTGACATCATCATTATTAGTCGAACACCATTACACGCTTTTCTCTTCTTTCCTTCGTCATCTACCCTCTTTCTCTCTCTCAATTGTAACCTAATCATTCCTTTTTACTTCAATCATGCCAGAAAACTTATCCATGATTCACATATACCTCGCCTCTTCAAACGCCTCCAGAAATTTAGAGATTTGTTTAATCGATTTCTCCTTTCTCTCTTTTCTTCGGCAGCCATTTCTTAACACAATCCTATGCGGCCGATACAACCTACAAGAAGGTAACTGACCATCCCTTCATCTTTATTTTTGGTTTTCGATCATTATCTAATATTGTAGTTTTGATTATTGTTGGGGGTTTTTTTGTTAGTCAAACAGACAGATGCCAAGTCCATATATCGACATTGCCATGATCTTCTTAGTTTTTTTTCTCTCTCTCTCTCTCTCTCTCTCTCTCTCTCTCTCTTGCTCTAAACCCAATCGCTTCCTTCAATTAATACCAAAAAGGGTCACCCCATCGATTTCATACATCAAATTGATCTTATGTGTTCTTCCCCGTTGCTATGTGTTCTTCCTCCGACGACAGAATCTGGCCTGTAAGTCCCGTAATTATGATCGTTGACGCTTTTGATTCTATAACCGAATGGGCTTTTCATATTTGATGTTTTCATTCAGGAATTGGAGTTGAATTGGAGAATTGTTATGACAACGATAATAGGGTTCTTGGGTTCTGCATTTGGAACAGTTGGTAGTTTTGGTGGTGGTGGCATTTTTGTCCCCATGCTTACTTTAATCGTTAGGTTTGATACAAAGTATGTTGTTGCTCTTTCTAAGTGTACGTTTTCACTTTCTCTTTTCTGATTTCTTATCTAGGTAATGAATATTCAAATCTACAATGTTTCTTGAGTTTTCTAAGAGGGGATTGTGTTTCATTTCACAAAAAGTGATTCTTAACGTTTCTGATAACTCATATTTGGAATGAAATCTTTCTATTTGGGTACAGAAAGTTTGAATATGATTTGAGTTTGGATTTCATATCTTGAAAATTTTGAACCACGTATGGAAAAAGTAATTCGAAATATAACAAAAATACCAAAAAAATAATTTTCAAATAATTTATTTGTTAGAAATTAATTTTAAGATGCTTTAGTATCGAAAATTCAGAAAAAAAATTGTTCAAAGGATAAAACAATTTTTTCTTCAAAGATGTTTTACCTAATAATCACTTCGAAAATCAGTAATTCAAACTCGAAAAACCTAATTTTCTAATCACTTTTACGTTCGGAGTCGAGCTTCTCGCAAATTAGGGTTTTTAATGGTGTATGAGGTTGATACCTCGGTAATTAATGTCTGTAACCCCTTCAATATTTTGCACCGACAAAATTACAAAAATAGTCCATGTGGTTTGCCAAATGTCACAAAGTCAGTCTCTACTAATTTTTTAGACGAACATGGTCCCCGTGGTTTCCAAAAATTGCATGCATGACCCTTTTTGCTGACACGGTTACTGTTCATCCGTTAGTGTAAAGGTATTTTGGTCTTTTCAAGTAGTAAGGACTGAGTTTATTACTATGGGTGAACCACAGGGACCATTTATGTAATTTTTTCTTCAATTTATGTTTATGAGTTTGTGACTTTTCCACCCATTTACTTTGTAAAATATCACTTTGAACTTTGAAAAATGTTACTTTGACCTCTCTATTTTCTAAATTTTCGTGTTTAACCCCGTATTATATATAATTTGATTTTTATTAGACAAAACTTCAAAAATGGTCCCTGTGGTTTTCGAAAATATCAATTTTAATCCCTAAGTTCAAAAAACCTCACAGATGGTCCCTGTGGTTTCAAAACTTTTAACAAACAGTCCCTTAGCCACATAAAGAGACTAATATGCCCTTTCTATTTCTTTTTAGAATTAATTTTACCTAATCCTATTTAAAAAAAATAAAAAGACAAAATAAATAATTCATTGGGCCCACCTCTCTTTCTCTCTCTCGTGAAAGTCTTTGTCATCTTCTTCTACTCAATCCCCAACACCCTTTGACTGATAAAAAAAACGGGCACTTCATTTACATCAGTTCATAGCCCCAGCAACTTGATTTTTAAACATCACCACTGCTCCACCACTACTCCGCCATAGAACCACCTGTATCAAATGTGAATCACCAACGTTGGCCACCGTTTGTCAACCAACAACCCCCCCTTTTCCCTCTGCTGCTCCGACAATCAATCCTAAAAGCAATAACACCAGCAGAAATCAAGGGAAGGCAGAAATCGAGGGAGGTTCTTCGATCCTCGTCTGATCGAGAAGGGAGAAGCAAGAATGGAAAACAACAGCAGGTGGGGGTGTTCGTGAGGAAAGAATCCGACGAACCAAGGCTGCCGCCCCTGTTTCAGTTTCTCTCCTTCCTTTCACATTCTTCCATATCGATCAACAACTCAAAACATCCCCTCGTTTGCAGTGGTCCTCAATTTTGGCTTCGATAAAGTGAGAGGAAGAAGAACCGATAAACTAGCGAGCTGTTACAACTCCCCAGCCATCCTCACTTGGTTCTCCGTCACCTCCAGCACCTCCTCTCTCTCCGCCTACTGGTGGTGATTTGAAGCCACAGCTCGGATGAGTGAGCTATCAGCCGAGAAGGAGCTCATCGGAAAAACCGACTGCTCTTCCCTCTTCCACCATTATAGCCGCCTCCGCCTTTTCCCCCCTTGTGACTGCTTAACTACTGCAGAACCACACTCCACCATCGGAGCTTCCTGATCGCAGCCTTCCATTCGTGATTTCAGCTTCTCCGAACAGACGAAGACGGAGACCTGTTCCCTTAGCTCTCAACCGGAGATGATGCAAGTTATAGCCTCAGAGGGTCGCCGGAGATCGACGACTCTGTCTCTCCTCGCGATTTGAATGACCACCATCGGAACTTCTCATCGCTTCCGATTTGTTCGTTCCTCCAAATCCCCAAACAGATGAAGAAGACGATGTGCGTTTTTTATGTTGAGAGAGAGAGAGAGAGAGAGCAAGTGGGCCCAATGAATTATTTATTTTGTCTTTTTATTTTTTTTAAATAGGATTAGGTAAAATTAATTCTAAAAAGAAATAGAAAGGGCATATTAGTCTTTTTATGTGGCTAAGGGACTGTTTGTTAAAAGTTTTGAAACCACAGGGACCATCTGTGAGGTTTTTTGAACTTAGGAATTAAACTTGATATTTTCGAAAACCACAAGGACCATTTTTGAAGTTTTGTCTTTTTATTAATAACTTTTGTTTGTTCACCTAAAAAACTATTTTTATGTGTTTATTTTTATATATTTGTTGGTATAATTTAAGGTGATCAACGTTTCGACTTTAATTTAGAACTTTCTTTCGTTATTATTATTATTTTTTAAAGTTACATGTTTTTTTTATAAAATTGTCGGTTTAAATTCGAATCTGTCTATGTTTCGATGTAGGGATTTTTTTTTTCATGCTTAATTTTATGTACGATTAAAGCATATGACTCGGGTCACATATTATACGTTTTTGATTATTTAAACTTTCGTTCGTTAACTTAAAAAAAATCTTACTTACTTATTTTATGCACGTGTTGATATAAATTTGAGTTTTCTTTTTCTTTATTTTTTAAATTTCGATTTAATTTTTTTTGTACGTTTTGGTGCTTATTTTATATATGTTCATACGTATGAGTTTGTTCACACATAATAGATAAAAGCGTAATTATGAACATTGAATTTTGTAAGTTGAATTTTGACGATTGTATTGATAAAAGTTACGTTTCGACGTAAAAAAACACGTACATAAAAACAAGCACGAAACATAAAAAAGATTACGTCGAAATGTAGACGAACTCGAATCTATACTGATACGTAAAAAACGTGAAAAAAAGTTACATTGAAACGTAGACAAACTCGAATATAATACATTTTTTAAAACTAACGAATGAAAGTTATTATATGTGACCAGAATGATACATAAGAATGTATATAAAATTAAGCACAAAAATATACAAAAAAAATATATCGAAACGTAGACAAACTCGAATATAATACATCTTTTAAAATTAACAAAGGAAAGTTATTATATGTGACCCGTCTCATACGTAGGAAACGCACATAAAGTTAAACACAAAAAAAGTTACGTCGAAACGTAAACTCGAATTTAAACCGAAAAGTTTATACAAAACAATGTAATTTTTTACAAAAAAAATTAACAAAAGAAAGTTTTAAATTAAAGTCGAAACATTGACCACTTTAAATTATACTGACTAATATATAAAAATAAACATGTAAAAATAGTTTTTTTAGGTTAACAAATGAAAGTTATAAATAAAAATCAAATTATATATAATACGGGGTTAAACACGAAAATTTAGAAAATAAAGAGGTTAAAATAACATTTTTTAAAGTTCAAAGTGATATTTTAAAAAGTAAAGGGTGAAAATGCCACAAACTCATAAACATAAAAATATAAAAAAAATTTAATAAATGGTCCCTATGGTTTATACATAGTCACAAACTCAGTCTCTACTACTTGAAAATACCAAAATACCATTGTACTAACGGATGAACAGTACAATGATCAGGAAAAAGGGCCATTATTGCAAGTTTTGGAAACCATAAAAATAATAGGGACTGACTTTGTGACTTTTGGCAAACCATAGGGACCATTTTTGTAATTTTGTCTTATGCACCACTGTCTCCGTCGCTTGCCCGTCTATGGTTTCACTTTTACCCGTTGCGAGTTGCGTTTGTGGAGCCAAATCACACACGAAAGCGTCTACTTCTCTACAAAAGGGGACGGGCGGCCCACCACCTACTGCCACCGCCCACCTTAAGTTTGCCTTGCGTCAATCTCTAAAAACATTCTGCGGGGAAACCATTAGCTATTAGGTGAACAAACATGGTGGTGGCACGATCTATTTTAGGCTTTAAATCCAAGTTCGCAATTGTTGCCACTGCCTTGGGCGCCGGTGCTGGTGCTGCGGCCATCGCTAAATCGGATGATCCTGCCACTTCCCTCAAGCTCTGCACCACTGTCCCCGTCCGCCTCTTTCGCCTCTCCCTCACCGCTGCTACTATTGCCTTCGGTAATTTCCCTTTATAATCTCAATTTCTTTAGATTTTAGCTACAAACGCGGGAGTAAATCGTGAAATTATAATCGTATGTTGTTATCTCATTTTTTTTTTAATATATTTTTACGTGCACGTTGACTTGTGTCAAACGTTTCTTTCCCTATGGATCTCTGAATCACGTTTGAAAGTGTGTTTCTCCGACTTAAGTGTTTATGCATTTAGGAAAGAGCAACGCTTCAACTTTCGAAATTAGATGAATTGACCTTCAACTTAATAAGAAGTTGCTATTTCGAAAATTGTTACAAGATTTCGCTACCTACATTAGGTTTCGATGCATCTGGGGGATTTTAAAACCAGTTTCTCTTTCTAAACAGAGATAACAAACCTTCTATCATCGACTATAATACTTTAATCTTTCTTGTAAATTGACGTTCTTTCTGGAGTATATTTACTATACAATTTGAATTGATTTTAATATAGAGAAAGAAATATCTGTATGCTTTCAGATTATGAGTATTCACTATGGGGACTCCCAGAAGATGTCAATGAGAGGACAAGAGTTAAACATGAAGTCCACACCAGAAGTGCACGTAGGCTTGAAGAACTTTGCCTCAACAATGGTGGAATATACATCAAGCTTGGTCAACATATAAGCCAACTGGTAGGACTAGGATCTACCCCTTCCTTTCTTATTTGAATTTTGAAGATTCAATTTGTATTATATGATCATGATGCACAAACCACATACCTAAGCCAAATTGAAACCTCTCATTTAGGAATATTTGGTACCTCAAGAGTACATTAACACATTGAGGGAGTCAATGTTGAACAGGTGTCCTACTTCTTCCTATGATCAAGTATGCCAAGTTGTCAAGAGAGAGCTTGGTGGGCCACCTGAAGAAGTATGCATCTTCCTAATCTCATTATATTCTTTTATTTGTGTTGTAGTTTTTTTGAGTCATAAAGTTAAGTCAAGTGTTTGTTTTCTTTTCTTACACACAGATATTTGACGAATTTGACCCTGTCCCTATTGCAAGTGCTTCTCTTGCTCAAGTTCATGTTGCTCGCACTCATGAAGGAGACAAAGTTGCTGTGAAGGTACAACATATGCACATGACAGATACTGCTGCTGCAGATTATGCAACAGTTGAATTAATTGTCAACACTTTGCATTGGATCTTTCCTTCATTTGATTACAGGTGGTTGGTAGATGAAGTACGCGACAGTCTACCCAAGGTTAGATTTGTAATTTTGATCTTAATTCTCACAATCTTTATCATATCATATGCTGGATCCTTAAGATGTTATGATGTGATATGGTTATCAGGAACTAGATTTCTTAAATGAGGCCAAGAACAGCATAAAATGTATGGATAACTTTCGAAGGTTATCTCCTGATATTGCAGAGTATGTTTATGCCCCTTTGGTATATTGGAATTTAAGCACCACAAAAGTGTTGACCATGGAGTTTGTGGAAGGTGCAGAAGTCAATGATTTGAAGAGCATTAAAAAATTTGGAGTTTCACCACATGACATTGCCAGACTAGTAAGTTCATTGCAAATTGCTTTTTTTAGACAAAACATGTGGCATGATTTATGTTAAGTGATTTTGTTTTTAATACACAACACAGGTGAGTAGAACATTTGCTGAAATGATGTTCAAACATGGATTTGTACACTGTGATCCACATGCTGCTAACTTAATAATTCGCACAATGCCTTCTCAACGAAGTGGCATTTTTGGTAAATATCTTTAATATAATAAAATTGGAATCATATCTTTAATCTTTATATAATATAACAAAATTGTATGGTTTTTGTGTTTAAGGGAGAAAAAAACCACAATTAGTACTTTTGGACCATGGTCTGTATAAAGAGCTTGATGTTTCCACCAGGACAAACTATGCTGCACTGTGGAAGGTGCACTTTTGCAATTTGTTGAATCTGAAAGGGCCTTTTATGACAATTTTTAAATGTTTTTGGTTATATTACAAATTTACAGGGTTTAGTACTAGCTGATGCGAAAGCAATAAAGGAAAATTGCATAAAATTGGGAGCTGGAGAGGATCTGTATGCATTGTTTGCAGGGATTCTGACAATGAGGCCATGGAATAGAGTTATTGATCCAGCTGTCGATCATCTTGCTATTCAAGGAAATCCCAGTGATCAATCAGAGCTTCAGATGTATGCTTCCATGTATTTTCCTCAAATTACAGAGCTTCTGCATAAACTGCCACGTGTCATCCTTTTGATGCTGAAAACAAATGACTGCTTGCGTGCAGTTAATAACGCATTGGTATATGTCCATGTCATACTTTTTAAATTTGATGATGATAAATTTGTTGTTTGTGTTGTTAATAAGTAAAGTTGTTGACATACAGATAGAAAGACCTTCAGTGGAGTCTTTTATTATTATTGGAAGAGTTTCATCAGAGGCACTGATTGAGGAGAAGTTGTTGAATGCCAATTCTGTTTTTAGGTTGGTGAGTGTTTGGTTGGAGGAGATTTCATTAGAAGCTCGGTTTTTTATAATGCAGTTGGCCTTGTGGATGCTTCAGTTTCGTAGAGCTTTGGTGTTCTAATCATGGAGTTATATCATTACAATGAGTATACATACATCACAGAGATCACAAAATCATGTGGTTTTCAACTAATTCACTTATAAAATTCATTCTATATAGTGTATTCTTTGGCTATGAGCCCATTGTTTTCTACGTAGTACACAAAAATTCAATAGATAAATTGAAGCTGGACATGTTGTGACATTGTAAAATTTTATACAATGCTTCATGAGTGTTGTTCAAATGAAATATATCCAAATTGATTTCGGAATTTAAACATGATAAATAGGTTGCACTAAATTTAAATCCGATCCAAACCAACAAATTATAATTCGGTTGGATTGATTTTTACAATTTATTTTTTCGAGAGCTGAGAAATTTACAAAATATATTATTTGAACATAAACAAGTTTAATCATCATATTTTGAATTCGCAATATTCAATCTCTTGTCTTCTAAAAAAACTCTAATAAAGAAATAAAAGCAAATAGTTTAGTTAGAATTAAAATATATAAAAATAATTACTTTGAAAAACATGGTAATTTAATATTACATGTATAACTTTTTCTGAAAAGAATTGGTTTTTAACTTTCTAATCGAACTAACAAAAAATAGTCAATTAATAAACTATTAATGATATATATTACAAATATATAAGATAAATAAGTAAATAAATTGTTATTTTTTTTTTTTTGACTATTCAATTATTATTTTAAAAATCAAATCACTGAAATCCAAATGCTACAACCAATCAAAAATATCTAAATATCTTAGACAATTCATATTCTTATTATGTCCTTAGTCTTTTAGTTGTAACATGTCGGCTTTTGCAGTCATTTTTTATATCTATTAACACTCTTTCAAAATAGTCTCAATTGCCATATCAACGACTATTATATATATATATATATATATATATATATATATATATATATATATATATATATATATATATATATATATATTAGGTGTGAGACTCATGTATTATATGAGTTAAATAAAAAATTAAATATCAAAATGTAAACATTAAGTATTTTAAAATTAAAATTTTAAATTAGGAAGGAAAAAACATATTTATTGCAATTTATGATCATATTTATTACATTTAATACTTTACTTATATAACAATATGTATTATGTGACTTTTTTATTTTAAAAATTAAAAATCTAGAAATTGATATGTGGATAGTCTCGGGGTGTGCAAAAAACCGCACCCAACCGCACCGCATAATGCGGTTTAGAATTTTGTGGTGCGGTTTGCGGTTCGTCATTTTATCAAACCGCACTATGTGGTGTGGTTTGCGGTTTGTATTTATAAAACCGCAGTTCAAACCGCACCGCACCGCATGTTATATATATATATATATATATATATATATATATATATATATATATATATATATATATATAGGTTCAATTGTTTAAACTAAGTATTGTGTTATTGTATACATAAATGTTGACCAATTAAAATTAAGTAAAAAATTAAATAATTAAATAAATAAACAAGGGTATTTTAGTAATTTGATAATTAGATTCCACAAATAATCCCTATAATCTTGCTAACATTCAATTTTAACCTAATTTATTTTCTTATATACAGCCGATGTCTTCCATAAAAAAAGAATGAATTGAAACAAAAAGAAGGGCTTTATTTCCCCGTGTTCATCACCTGACTAACAGATCGGGCAAAGATCGGGGAGAAGCATCGGGCAAAGATGGGCAATCGATATATAGGGGTTACTAATTTGAAAAGATATAACATTTCGTTCTTCTCTCAGTTTCAATTTCTCTCGGTTCTCCCTACTTCAATCACAACTTCTTGAACTGGGATCTGTGTGCACGTTCCCAAATTTTTTTCTCCCCTCTTCTCCAATCGATCGCATGGTTCTTCCTATCTTCTTGAAATCGGTGGTAGGTTCTTAATTCCGATCGACACCACCCCCAATCACAACTCCTTTTTTCTTCCAATCGATTACACACCCCTGTATCGCTCTTTGTATGCTGGTACATATGTATTGATTCATTGCTTCAAATTTATTAATTTTTATTTGAATTTTTTGGTGTTTAGGGTTTCCGGTGGAACCCATTAACGCGATGGTTAAGGTATTAGACGCAATCTTCTGCATCCAGGCCTGCTATGTTCTTTACTTTACAAAGTTTTTGTTTTTTTGGTTGTACTCTGATGAAAATCTAATTGGTCTTTCTTTTTTTGTTTCGTTTCCTAGGAGACTTTGAATGGCCTGCAGATTTAGAAGAGGAGCAGTGTTTATGTGAACAAGAAGGTTTTCCATTGGAGGAAGATGAATGTGAATCTAATCAGGTTATTGAAGTTTACTCATGTGTTTGATTCTTTTTTGGTTGGGCAATTGAAATTTAGAAGTCATTACATTTATGCTTTCTGGGAAATCAAGTATGGTGATTTTCCCAGCTGGAGCTGGAAAGTCACTGTGTTCTTAGTTCCCTGCTATTGTTCTACAAGGAATGATAGTTGTCATTAGTCTATTGAAGATGTTGTTTGAGTCTTTGAATGGTCTAAAAATAGTTGGGAAGAATAGAAGCTTGAAATTATGCTCTAGGAAGTGAACCAAAAACTCTTATTAGGTTTTTAGACTGAAGCAGTTGACCTTACTACCAGTAGAAAAGGTAACATATGGAAGAACACAAAAATAATTCTATGAGAATATTGCACACCAGGTGTTTGTAGAAATGCCTGAAAGAGAACTTGATGTTCAAATTCTTGAAGAACACAAAATAATTTATGAGTTCGTTATTTGTGTTACTTGATTTTAACATGTAGTATGAGTTCTCTTAGAATTACTAAAATTTGTTTTATTTTTGGTGTATAAAAGCATTCTCACATAGTTTTATTCTTACATAATTCAATTTCATGACAGATATTCTCATAGAATGAATGAAGTACATGATGATCAATGGCCCGAAGGTTGGATGAATGTGTGTAGGATAGACATGAACAATCCTCAATGGTCACCGATCTTCCACAAAAATGCACTACTCATTGTCATATTCTGTTAGATTAATCTATAATAGAATGATAAGAGTATATGTAATAGTATATTTCAATAGAATAATCTACATATTATATTTGTTTGTTATTAGGGAGTGTTTCATTATTATAGAATAAAATATAAAGTTTTTTATTTTTTCAAAGATGTAATAGAAAAAATTTAACTTGTATCTAAAAATTTGTTTATTCTGCGAGAAGTAAGACTCTTTATTAGTTTATGACTTGCATTTTCATAGAATATCATTATAAAAAGAATGTCATTCTGTCAGAATAAAACCGGATATGATTAAAAATTATATTAGAATTATTTAAACTAAATTAATTTAAAAAAAATCAAAATTCAAAAATTAAGATAATCAAAGATCCATTAAACTCTGTAAATTTCTTTTTTTAAATTTCGGTTTCCTAATTTGAAGGCAATGCAAATGTACAATATTACCCTTCTTTTAATTAAATGGCATTATTCTATTTTTCTTTTATTTAATAATATAGGTAAATCACTTTCTTAAAATAAGTAAAATGATTGGCCTACATTGATGCATACAATAACACAATAACTAGTTTAAATAGAATAACCTAAGCCTATATATATATATATATATATATATATATATATATATATATATAGGGTGAGGTTTAATAGAGAACCATAATTAACCAAGGAACCAATCTTTTTTTCAACTTTTAGAACTTATTTTTTATAAAAACAAAAAAACTAAAAATAGAGAAATTCATAACTTTTTATCCTTTTTCCAATGATATCAAATTCGATTTTTTTTTACGTCAAATTCACAATGTGAATCTTTGAAAATTCACAATGTGAATCCGGATTCACACGGTGAATCCGAAAAATATTTTTCACATTCACAATGTTAATATATGAATTTAGATATTTTTAGATTTTTTTTTCGATAAAGAATAAATTCTAGAAATTGTAAAAAAGATTTGGTTCCTTGAAGAACCAATAATTATGGTTCTCTATTGAACTTTTCCATATATATATATATATATATATATATATATATATATATATATATATATTCTTTACTTTGTTAAAACTTCAAATCACGATTTAGAAACGATGTATTTAAATATATTTCTTACAATAACCAAATATCTATAACGTAACATTAAATCACTATTAGATCAAGATCCCACAGTTTACAAGAATATAGCAATTATAACGGCAATATAAAGGAATAACAATAACACTTACAAAACTATAGTAGCATGAATCACAATTTATTAAAAACGATTTAACTTGAAAACTGTATTTGTTTTTATAAAATGAAAGCAATCAATTTTTTTAACCGGGTCAGTTTTTTGGTCTTTTGATAGATTTAATGTTGAACAACTCATCAAACCGCACAAACCGCAACCAAACCGCATAAACCGCCCGCACCAAACCGCACCTCATAACGCGGTTTTGAACATTTGTGGTGCGGTTTGCGGTTTCTAAAATATTCAAACCGCATATGCGGTGCGGTTTGCGGTTTTGACTCTAAACCGTACCAAACCGCACCGCGCACACCCCTAGTGGATACTATTAATTTCAAAAATATCATAAAATGTCAAGTGTCAAAACTTATGAGAGGTTAACATGTGACAAAATTGATCTTCTTTTATTAGAGTAAAATTTTAATTTATCAAAAAATTTATAATCCTCATGCAAATTTTAATATTAACATATTAATATAATATTTTAATACATAAATAAAATCAATATAAAAGGATGATATGACTTGCAAGTACACTTTAAAAAATTGAAAGAACATGCTACATGAATGCCTTGATAATGATTTATAAGTAAGGCTGTAAACGAACCGAACGTTTAGCGAACGGTTCGTGAACCGTTCGGCAGGAAGTTCGCTTATGTTTGTTTATTTAATAAATAAACGAACATGAATACAAATTCTCGTTCGTTTAGTTAAACGAAAAAATATGAACATTTGTCTCGTTGGTTTAATTATGTTCGTGAACGTTCGTTTACGTTTGTTTATGTCCGTTCATATAAGTTCCTTTTATATTCATATATGTTTAATTGTATTTGATTACATTACTATATTATATGTTCATTTATGTCCAAATATTTTCGAATTATGTTTGTTTATCTTTGTTCGTTTATATGTTCGTTTAGCATGTTCACGAACATAAACGAACGAACATGAGCAATGCAATTTATTAAACGAATGAACATGAACAAGAAAACTCGTTTGTTTATCCGTTCGTATTCGTTCATTTGTTCGGCTAACTTAAACGAACGAAAATGAACAAGCTCCGTTTGTGTTCGTTCGGTTCGTTTACAGTCCTATTTGTAAGTGCTCCGAACAAGTTGGTTTTATGACTTTATCTAAATTCTAAACATACATAAATTTATCAGTTAAATTGTGTATTAGATGGAAACAAACATATTTACGAAGATGTTCAAAACATAATCGTGTAAGGGCCTGTTTGATTTGAGTCTAACTGGTCAGACAAAATATATGACCCGGTCCAATCAGTTTGTTTGATGCCGGCATTTAATCCATCTGACTCGGTCCACATTCATCCATTTACAACTTACTCGGACAGGAAAAAAAGATCACTGACTGGGAACGAATCGTCATTCTACCTTATTTACCCTTACTTAGGCCTGGCAATCGTGTCGTGTTCGAGTTGGCGTGTCGCGGGTTGGCGGGTCAAAATATGCCAACCCAAACACGACCCATTTAAATATACAAGTCACGGGTTAGCGGGTTTGTAACATAAACTCATATATGACCCGCCAACCCATTTATTTATACGGGTTCACAGGTTGGTGGGTTCGTGGGTCAGATTTTATAAATAAAATTGACATTTAAACATGAACAAATTCTTGATGGTTGATGCAAACATATCCGAATTTTAGACACTTAAGTCTTAAACATCAAAACGAAAATTAAAAACATTCATAGAAACATGTTCAAACTAAACATTAATACAAACATATTCAAACTAAATATTAATACAATCATAGATAATTCAAGTGGTCTATGAATCAATGGTATATATTATATATATTAAATATTAATACTTGATACATAAATACATTTAAAAATAAAATATATTTTTTTATTAAAAATACAAACAGGTTGGCAGGTCAACCCGTTTATTTTTTGAGAAACCCATATATGACCTGTTTAATAAATGGGTTGGCGGGTTGAAAAACTCAACGCAAACCCATTTATTTCGTGTCGTGTTGCGGGTCGTGTCGAGAATTGCCAGCCCTACCCTTACTTCTACTTACGCATGCTACTTCCCACGCCTTTCTCCCGAGACACCACCACCATCGTTGCCCCCTGCGTCGTCTTCTTCATCCATCGCCGATAAGTTATTTCCTTTTTATTTTCCTTTTTTTTGTTTCCTGGTTGAAGATGTGTTTTAAGGTTACCGATTGGGCTGTGGAACATAAATTGGCAATATGTGTATGTTGATTTGGAACGATGATGAGGACGAACTAGATGGGAACATCGATTTCTTTTCGATTGCAATCCATTGTTTGTTGATTTCTTATTCTATCAATTTTAATTGGATTGATTTTACAAAACTAAATTCCATTTCAACTGTTCCTATTGCTATATTTTTCTCATACAAAAGAGATTTTTTTCTCATAGGTGGTGAGTTCCAGGTATTTTCCCTTCAACTTTTACTTCCTGATCTGTTTCATATCCTTAGTGGGTTTCATTGATATTGGTGGTTTGGAAGTGATTGCTTGCTGGCTTTAATGATAACTCATGTAATAATCTGAAACGTATTGTTGGTTTTACAAAGTGACATTTCTACAGGACAATGGTTGACACAAACCAAAAAGATGAAAGCCGAAAATCAAATCTTTAGTGAGAATTCAGAATATGATGAAAATGTAAAGAAAGACGTAAACAATCAAGCAAAATGTTGTGAAAGAAGATGAGAAGAAAAATACAGAAGCAAACAAAGGTGAGGAACTAGGTGAGAATTCAAAGAGTAAAGAAAACAGACCTAAATCTTGGGACAAGAACACAAGGCAGAGTGTGTCAATGGAGATAAACCAGATTCATCAAGCAATTTTTTGTTTGGAACTTTGTTTCTATCATTGTTATAATGAATGTTTTTGCATTTTTTTTACTTTTGTTTAATTGTAACGTAGAATACAAAAATTATATTTAATATGTGGCTGAAGGTTTCTTGCAATTCCATTCCTATTAGGTTAAAACACCCATTTTTTATGATATTTTGTTGTGTTTGATTTTCATTTATGTGTTAATAACAAAAGGGTAAAGTGGTCATTTTAAACGGTGAGCACAGCCAGTCAGATGTGTAATCAAACAATATGGTTTCAGACAGGGCTTCAGACTCAGTCAGGTCCTGAGGTCCTGAGGTCCTGACTCAGTCAGATCCGACTCAGTCAACAACTATCAAACAGGCTTGTTTGGTTACATGACTTACATCTGAAAGAGAGATGGGGCTTTGTGCCCAAATGAAGATGGTGATATACGAAACTCATTCTGTCACTACAAAATCGAAACAACGGTGAAAAATGTCGAACCAATATTATAAGCATTTCAGCTTTTTAATAAATGAAGCATGCAGGGGTGTTCATTCGATTCTATCCGATCAACCGAATTAAAATTGATTTCAAATATTAAAATATTGTGAGGCAGTCCAAATTAAATTCAATATCATTTAAATCGATTAAATTATAATTCGGTTTCATTGGTTTCAAAAATCGAGACGTTTAGAAAAAAAAGAATTATAAAGTTTAAATATGCAATATTTAATATTTTGTGACTTTTGTCTTCTTAGTGAATCTACCCTAATAAAGGAAAATAACATTGCCACATGTCATCACCTTATTCACTATGCCACATGGCATTTTATCTATTTTTCCAATTACCATTAATTCCACTTGGCAAATTCTAATTTTTGTGCTTTTAAATTAAAAAATCCGTAATGAAAATACAATATATCAATTTCCCTGAATTTAAAGAAAGTCAATAACTGCTTAAAAGCTCACGTAATTTTTGCAAGGGAGGTATTAATTTCAAACAAACCTTCTTAATTATCATCAACAAAATTCTGTCAATCCCTTTAAAAATAACGTTAATTTGGAGAAACTTTTCAAACATTCCTTCACTCACGTAATTTTTGCAAGGAATGTATCAAACTTTTACATCCTTTCCAAAAATCATTTTTATAAATTACTTTTTATGTATAACTCAATTCTATTCATCTGTTATCACTGTCTCTTGCAATATTGAGTTTACAGCATCGTCTTCTAAAGTTTTGCATCATCACAGTGGAAAATCTTCTTTTCAATCACAGAGTTCAACCCATTCGGTAAGTTTATAAAAAAACTACTTTTAAATTGTTTGTTTATCTTTTGTTTCTTCTTGTGTTTTTTTTTAATGTGTGTGTTGTTTTTTTAACATCTTCTCAATGTGTATGCGTGTGTGTGCGTTAACTGTTTATGTTCATGTGTGTTTGTGTTTAACTGTTTATGTTCCTAAATCAATCCAATATAAAACGCATGATTCTGACTTTTGAGTTTTCATTCCATGTATCAAAATGTGGTAGATGAAAACAGGCGCGTTAAAACGTATGATTAAATGTCTGTAACTCTCTATGTATAAGTTCTGGAGCAACATTGAAGCTGTAAATAAATAAGATGAACAAGGATTTTTTATGTAGACTTTTTTTAAACAGGAGACTTAGAATGAAATAAATTGTCTTATAAAAGCCCCTGTTTTCCATCCTAAGTCCTTGCTTTCAACCTTGGGAATCAAAATTGAAACCATTTACAGCAATATAATTAAAAAAAATTAATTGTTATTCATGTTTTTGTTCAACTATGCTGTTTTAGGTGTTTTCCTACTTATTTGAAAGTTGTTATATTTGTTTCATGTGATGGAATGGAAACAGGAAAAGGAATGGAATACTCTATTATCACTGTCATTTTTTTTTGTTATAATGTAGATTAATTAAAGTGAAAAATACAAATACTTTTTTCTGTCCCCAACTGTTTACTATTTTTGTATGACCAAGGGTCAAAAACGTCATTTTTACATTTTTCTTGGTTGTTTACACATTTGGTACATATTAACCTAAATGTGAATTTGCATACATTCAATCTACTTACAATTCAAAAAAAACATATAAATATTCTTCATAACTCCAGTCGTTTCATTACCCATAGCAGATAACAAACTGAATACCTCTTAGAATCATGATAACATCAGTGCTGTTACAGGTGTTATTAGAAAAAAAAAACTACAAAAAAGGTATGCTTTAATTGGGATGGTTTTTCAAAACAAATATGCTTTTATTATAGCAAAAAAGGAAGTGGTTATATTTTTGTTTTACTATTCCATATTTTGTATTTTGGGCATTGCTGCAGAAATGACTTTGTTTTGCTATTTATTTAAAAGTGGTTATATTTTTTTGGTGTGATGGAATGGAAACAGGAAATATGGAATAGGATGGTCTATTATCACTATTATTGTTGATTTTTTTATGTTTTAATGTTGATTGATTAAAGTGAAAAATACTAATAATTTTTTTTGTCCCCAACTATTTATGATTTTTCTATGAGCAAGGGGCAAAAACGTCATTTTTACAAATCTGTTGGCTATTTAACACGTCTGGTCCATATTGACCTAAATGTCTATTTGCATATCTTCAATCTGCAGAACCGACTTTGTTTTACTGTTTTATGTAAAAAAAAAATGAAAATTCCATTTTATAACAACTTCAAATAAAGTAACTCTCCTCGGAAGATACCGAATACAATTTTTTCCCCTACAATATGGTGAGCCTGTTGAACATCGTATGTTTTGATTATAGTTGTGGGACACTTCTGGTATCTTCGGATTACTCATGTTATGTTTAATACCTTTGTAAACTAATATATTTGTAAATTAATAATTTTTAGTCATTATGATTTCTCTCTAACCTTATTTGACAGTTTTACACATTTGGTACATGATTGACCTAAATGTTTTGTCATTTATGCAATTAAAATGGTGTTTTCTTATGTTCATTACTACATTCTTGCATAGATTAATGGAAAACAGGAAGATTAGCATGATAAGTGAGTTGGCTCTCTCACAAGATGACTATACCATTAAGGTCCGTGTCATCCGTTTGTGGAGACAAACTTCATGGAATCAACAACTTCGTATGATTGGCATGATATTGATGGATGAAATGGTATGTTATAACTTACGTATGTTAACTTACAATTATATGTATGTGTATTATAACTTACATATTTTATATATCATTACATTTATTGTATGCTTATTAATTAATATTTGATTTTTTATCTTAAGGGCTCAAAAATTGAATGTAATGTGGACAAACCATTTGCATCGCTTCAAGGAAAATCTTTTGAAGAATATGGTGATTACTACATTCATAAACCCACATTAGGGTTAAATGAAGGTGCTATAAAGTTTGTTGACGGTCCACACAAACTCTATTTCCAGTATAACACGAAGGTAACTAAATGCATAGATTTTTGCGGGCCACAGAATTCTTTTGATTTTGCAGACTTCCAACAACTTCATGATAATGCAATAAACCCAAAAATTTCATTTGGTTAGTGCATTTCCTTTCAACCCATTCCTAATGGATTAAAATATTTAAATTTCATTTTTTACACCACAAAAAAACATACTTACATTTTTCCTTTTGTATAATATAGATGTTATTGGAAACGTTTTCCGGTGTTTTCCATTGGAACCTGCAAAGGATAGACAGGAAAAGAAAATCACATTCAAAATGGAGGATTTAGAGTGGGTTTCATTTTTTATACCTATAATTACTCTTTTTATTATATATTTTTTTAGTAATTTTCATCATTTTTTACAGAGGACATGAAGTTTTTGTTACCCTATGGGGAAGGTATGCTGATGAAATTAATGCATATGTCTCTAAGCATACCGGTCATTTTGTATTGCTTATTCAATGTGCTAAGTTGAAGCTTGTCCGAGGTACTTACTTAGTAAATTGTTAATTTGTAATATTTATATTAATAACATATCTATGATATGAATTTGTTAACATGTGGAAAATTATTAAATTTCATTTTCAGATCGTCCTTATGTCAATAACACCTACTTGGCCACAAAACTTTATATTGAAGATGACATTGAGGAGATAACAACTTTCAAAAAAAGGTTATGTGAAATTTCTACATGATTTCTCATTACGTTTTAATGTTTCAATAATATAGAGTTATACTATCTAACATTAATTATCTTAATTAGTTTACAAGCAAAAAAAGGCTCTTTGACTTCCTCGGTTTCACGTACCTCGGGTTCATCCATCATGTATTCACTACATGATGACTTTCTTCAAAAAAACTCTTTTCACCAAATATCCGCTATTCACGAATTGAACGAGGTATATGAATTATTCTTTTTTTATTTAGTTAATTCAACACTTAAATATTTAATACACCTAAATACACCTAATATCATAGGGAGGTTGTGCGGTAATTCTTGGCACAATAAAGATGTTTGAAGATACACGGAACTGGTATTATAATGCTTGCAAACATTGCAAGTCAAAGGTTCAAATAGTTAAGGTTTCAGATGAGACGGTCAATGGCTTGGACCAGTTAGAAGAGAAAGAGATTATGGTTTGTACAAATGAAAAGTGCAAGGACAAACTTATTACTGTTGAACCAAGGTGTGTAATAAATATTAACTTAGTATATTATTCTTCAATATTATTATATTTAATTTAAACTTTTAAAATTTTTATGTGTTTTTTTAGTTTTATGATCAAAGTTCGAGTTCAAGGTTTAGTTGGTGTTGTGAGTCTTACGATCTTTGATCGTGAAGTCAGAAATATTCTGAAATTATCTGCTGCTGATTTATTATCAAAATATGAAAGGGTATATGTTTCTTATATGCAATACCATCTTGCTAAATACAACTTAATTTTCACACATTGATTTAATTGTTATTATTTATTAATATATTTTTTTAGTTTGGCAATACAAGTCAGTTTCCTATTGAGTTGAATGCCATGATCGACAAAAAATTGGCTTTCAAGATTGTTGTCAAGACATTTAATGTTTCAAGATTTGGTCGTTCTTACAACATTTCCAAAATAACGGATAATGTTGACATTATTTCTGCTTTGGAGAAAAATGAGAAAAAGAGTAGGATTGAACAGGTAACTATACACCAATTTAATTAATTTAAAACATACATATTTTGAAAATACTATTTCCTAGATTCCTTAACCCAACATACTGTTTTATTTTATCATTAATTTTATAGGACATGGATACTGAATCTGTTAATATAATTGGCTCAGAATTTGCATCTCAAGAAACAGTGGGTTGTAAGGTAAACTACATTACTACATCATTTACTCTTATATATGTTATCCTTTATATTACTAAACAACATTATTTCTTTTTTTATTTAAGGATGATACTTCCCACACTGCTGATAATACTCCTGTGTCGAATATTCCCTCTGGCATATCATCAAGAACAGTCAACAACCTCAATTCACCGCCTAGAAGTGCCAAACGTAAACTTGTAGATGTTTACGATCTTGATGATGACGTTTATGAATCAGCAACGAAACCTAATGCACAGCACAGTGATCCTGTTTATGAAGACAATAACTTCGATCTTTCTTTGCTACTCTATGCTATTTTCTTAGACATTTTTTTTAATATTTGGCACTTTTACTTGCATTTTATTTGGGATTTTAATATTTAGTGTTTGGTACACTATGAATATTCATTCGTGTTAGGTTTTACTTTTTCTTTTATTATAAGCAACTTGGATTTGACTCTTTATGGGATCATTATATTGCACTTTATATTTGGACATTACATTCATATTTTCTTCATAATCGTCTTTTATATTTCGGTTAATAAAGGCATTTTTATTAGTAGTCTCTTTCACATCCTACAACAAAATTTAACCGGTCATCCAAATACAAAGAATTTTTTACTCTTATTATTGGATATATATTTAAATCTTCACAACTTTCTTTTACAGTCCATGATTCTTATACATAATTTGACTTGATGTATAAGTAATTTTATGCTACATTTTAAATCTCATAATTTGCATAGTCAATTTTGTTATTTATATCAAATACTAGCCTAAAGCTCGTGTTTTACACGGTTTGACAACTTAAAATATCAAAAGTAGAAATGTTGTATAATGTTATAAATAACAAAAATATAGTCACCACTATGGCCACTATAAGTGATAAAATAATAATTTTATAAATAACAATAGTATAGTCGTATATTACAATTTTCCAAAACTTTTAATTGTGATATGATGCAACAGATGTTTATTTTAAAAAAGGAAGATATTTGTTTTCATGAATTTTAATTTTTCTATCTTTATATAGTAGCTTAATTTATGGAATCCTCATTTACGTTTTTTTTTAAATTGATTTTATAATGTAAGAAGTTAGTGCCTAATATGCAGGAATTACTATTAGAATGACATAGAGCAATTATAATCATGAACAAATTTGGTCAATCCCTTTCAATATCACGCTAACTTGGGAAACGTTTCAAAGATTGATTCATGACAGCTAAAATTTTGGAATACTCTATAATTTCAAACCAAACTTTGATATCCTTTCCAAAAATAATTTTTATAAATTACTTATTATGTATAACTCATTCTAATTCATCTGTTATCACTGTCTCTTGAAATATTGAGTTTATTACAACATCGTGTTCCAAATTTTTGCATCATCACAGTGGAAAATCGTGTTTTCAATCACAATCACAGAGTTCAATCATTTCTGTAAGTTTATAAAAAACTACTTTCAAATTTTTTGTTTATCTTTTGTTTCTTTTTGTGTTTTTTTTAATGTGTGCGTTGTTTTTTTAACATCAGTTTATGTTTATCAATGTGTATGTGTGTGTGTACCTGCTTAACAGTTTTTATGTTCCTGTGTGTCCAACTTGATGATGAATTGCAGAACATTACAACTGACCATTCTTTGATAATGAACTACTATACCCTGTTTTCCATCCTAAGTCCTTGCTTTCAACATTGGGATTCAAACTTGAAACCATTTACAGCAATCTAATTAAAAAAATAATTAACTGTTATGCATGTTTCTTTTCAACTGTGTTGTTTTATGTGTTTTCCTACTTATTTGAAAGTGGTTATATTTGGTTTGTGTGATGGAATGGAAACAGGAAAAATAATGGAATGATCTATTATCACTATTATTGTGACTTTTTATTGTTTTGATGTTCATTAATTAAATTGAAAAATACTAATACTTTTTGTTGTCCCCAACTATTTATGATTGATGTATGACCAAGGGTCAAAAGCGTCATTTTTACAATAAAATGTTCACTATTTTGCACATTTGGTCCATATTGACCTAAATGTGTTTTTGCATAGATTCAATCTACTTCCAATTAAAAAAAACATATAAATATACTTGACAACTTCAGTGGTTTCATTAAGCATAGCATGTAAGAAGACAAAAGAATCTTGCTTAACTTTTTAATGAACGTATATCCATTTTACATAAGGGTATTTTTGTCATTTTCAATGAATCTTTCCGTATCTTTGTCTTATTAATCTCTTAATCTCTTGTGCTGAATCTTATATTAAACCAGGTCAAAAATCGACATTCTGGCAACACATTTGACGGCCTCATCTAAAAAACGGGTTTTCCTTCTCTTTTCTTATTTTTATTATTTATGAAATCCTTCCTTTATTTGTTATATCAAAATGAATATAAATTTTTTTGATGCGAGTATTAATATATATGCTTATCTATATTTTCCTAAATCTTTTAAAATTAAGTTTTTTGATAAAAATCTTATTTTAGTTGTTATGTTAATATACACTTCTTTGTTGGAAGTCTTGATTTTTATTAATGTAAAGTATACAATTCTTAAATATTACCAAATTTTAACTACTATATATTAATCGTATTAATGTCTCCGTTTATTATAATTTTCAATTTTAAATTTTAATGAAATTATTGTCAATATATTTTTTATTACATAATTTTTTTTGTTCTTAAGCTACAAACACGATATGGATTCAAACGAACATAAACAAAGGCGCAGATATAGAAAATTATATTTGGATCAACGAAGATCCAATGTTATGTCCAACTTGTCATTTGGTAATTCTTTATCTACATCTCATTTTACTTTCATATTCAGTAATGCTTTATATGTAACGGCTGTTGAACAAATATTGTTTTATATCTTCTGGCGTTTTATCTCATATAATCATTGCATTTTCTATAATCATATAATCATTGCATTTTCTAATTAGTCATTCTTATTATCATTGCGTTTTATCTCATATAATCATTGCATTTTCTAATTAGTCATTCTTATTATTATATATTCAATGTAGGTTATTCTCGGCAACATTTATCATCTTCAAACAATTGTACACATATTCGCGATGACAATGAAAATTTGAATCCAAATATATCATCCGCATATCAACATACAAGTTTCCAATCTACTTCAACTTTTAATATTAGAAATGCATTGTCTGATGCTGCTAGAGAGAACAGAAAACTTAGAAAATTATATTCGGATAAGAAAAGATCTAATCATATGTCCACATCATCTAATGGTATATTGTTTTTTATCGGATAGACTAATTTTTATTTTATACTATATTTTTAATCTCACACAATCCTCTGGATCTTAAATATTATTATGTATTACCTACACTCTTTGCTACATTGCAATTAATTAAACATTATTATTTTATAAATCGCTTATATATATATATATATATATATATATATATATATATATATATATATATCATTTCTAATTATATCATTAAATTTTTTTTTTATTTTTCTTATTATATGTAACTTACACTTATTTGTATCTGCATTATAACTTACATATTTTATATTATTTTACAGTGCTTTCTAATATAACTACCAACATTCAAACACCTTCATCAACCAAGTTTGTCAATATTGTTGGTAACAATGAAAATGTCAGCCCAACTTTGTCATGTGGATATCAGCAAACACGGGTTCAGTCTATTTCGAATATTTATATCGACAGTCCATTGTCGAACAAGGCTAAAGATAAACGAAAAGAAAGGAAAATTTATTTGGATACAAGAAGATCCAATCACATGTCCACCGTACCAATCGGTATATGATATATATCATGCATCTTACTAATTTAATTGTATCCATATAAACTTATTCTAAATAGTGTAATAAGATACTATGTTATTTTACATGTTTCTTAATTGTTCCCTAATTAATACATATTTATATGAACTTATCTTTTATTGATAGGTAATGTTGGTCGTGATCAACAACATTTTCAATATGCTTCTGATTTTTTTACAAGAACTCCGTTGTCCAACATTTCGAATGGTACGACTACGTTTATATTCAACTTACTGTTTGTTACTATATATGGTACACATAAAATAATATGTATTCATTTTTTTATTATTTTTTATTTTTTATATATTTACTTTATAAGTTTAATACTAATTGTCATACTTTTATTGTTAGTAAATGCACAATATTCTACCTTGTCCGGTGACATGAGAGCTACGAATTCATCTTCAGTCACTCAAGCTTCTTCCAGCAATTTATCATGCAGAAAACTAAATAGAAAAAGAAAGATTCCAAATATATCTCAGATACCCATTTTGGACCTAACATCAGATGAAGATTTACGTGATCAACAAATCCGTCAACAGTTAATATCAGGTATTGCAAAAGGAAAATATTAATTTTTATTTATAATCCCCTTTTATATTTAAATTATTACTTGTTGCAACATTAAATTATTTCAAAGTTTTACAAATGTTTTTATTAAACAGATTACTTGGACCATGGTGACCAGACATTTGTGTGTACGATGTGTCATGCACAATTATGGACATATGAAGCTCTTAAAGGCAATACTTCCGGAAAGAAAACTTCTTATTCCATGTGTTGTGGTAACGGAAAAGTCGAGCTTCCTCAATTAAAACAAGCTCCAACAAATTATCAAAATCTCTTTCGTAATGTTGATCCAAAAGGAAAAAATTTCATGAAGAATATTCGTCGATTCAATTCGATGTTTTCCTTTACTTCAATGGGTGGAAAAGTTGATTCTTCCATTAATAGGGGCAATGCTCCATATGTTTTCAGACTTAGCGGTCAAAATTACCATTGTATGGGAAGTCTTTTACCTATAGACGGATCCAAACCAAAGTTTTCACAACTATACATATATGATACTGAAAATGAAATAACAAATAGACAACGCGCTTTCAGGTATAACTTTATTAATTTTTTTATAAACCATTACTTTTATAATTTTGATATAATTATTTACTTGCTAAATTTTACATATAACCGTTGTTGTTAACAGTACACAGAACGAAGGTTGCACATCAACTTCTCATTCTCTTGATATTGAAATCATTAGATTTTTGAAGGACATGTTGGATTCGACCAATGAGTTGGTTAAGTGTTATAGAATGGCCAGAGACTGTTTTGATGAAAATCCTCATATAGATCTAAAGTTACGTCTTATAGGAAGAAGGCAACAAGATGGAAGGACATATAACTTACCTACTGCTTCTGAGGTTGCTGCTTTAATTGTTGGTGACATTGGCGATGCAATTGATAATAGAGATATCATCGTAACAACTAAATCAGGAAGTCTACAACGTATAAACGAATTACATCCGGCTTACCTTGGTCTTCAGTACCCACTACTCTTTCCATATGGAGATGATGGATATAGAGTTGATATACCTCACAGGGATGTTGATCCTTCAACTAATACCAAACGTCGTTTCTGTACAATGAGAGAATTCTTTGCTTATAGAATTCAAGACAGAGTTAATGTTTTTTCATTAATTCTTAATTCAAGAAGGCTTTTTCAACAATTTCTGGTTGATGCTTATACGATGATTGAAACTGAGAGACTATATTACATACGCAACCAGCAAAAAGTTCTTAGATGCGAATCTTATGAAACTTTAAAAAGTGTACAAAGTCATGGTAATACTGATATTTCCAATGTTGGAAAACGTGTTATCTTGCCTTCTTCTTTTACGGGTGGTGCACGCTACATGATGCAAAACTATTTAGATGCCATGTCGCTTTGTAAGTTTTTTGGATACCCAGATTTTTTCATAACCGTAACATGCAATCCAAAATGGCCTGAAATTAAAAGGTTTCTAGCTGACACCACACTTAATCCCGAAGATAGGCCTGATATCCTTTCTAGATTATTCAAAATTAAGTTGGATTCTTTGATTAAAGACTTAAAGAAGAAGAGGTTATTGGGTTTGGTCAAAGCAGGTACCATATATTACAATAATAGTGTTATTAAAATGTTTTTTTATGTTTTTTATTATCTTATAATATTATATTTATTTAAATATACAGTTGTTTATACGGTGGAGTTTCAAAAGCGCGGTCTGCCTCACGCACATATATGTTTATTCATGCACCCTGATTACAAACTCCCTACTGTTGAACATATTGATCGAGTTATTTCGGCAGAAATTCCAAACAAAGATGATGATCCAGAATTGTACTCACTTGTCAGTGAGTTCATGATGCATGGTCCATGTGGTTCTGATAATCCAAAATGCCCATGCATGAGTGAAAACAAGTGTTCGAAAAACTTCCCGAAGCCATTCTTGGAGAATACTTCCGTTGATTCAAATGGTTATCCTATGTATAGGAGACGTAATGATGGATCTTTTATAGAAAAGTCAGGTGTTAAGTTAGACAACAGAAGTGTTGTTCCATATCACAAAACCCTTTTGAAACGATATCAAGCTCATATTAATGTTGAGTGGTGCAATCAAGCGGCTTCCATCAAATATTTGTTTAAATATATTAACAAGGGTCCTGATCGGGCTACTGTTGAAGTTGCACAAAACAACAACGGAGGTGATAATGATGATGCTCCGGTTGATGAAATAAAGAACTACTATGATTGTAGGTATTTGTCTGCGTGTGAAGCTTCGTGGCGTATATATGGATTTGATGTTCATTACAGATATCCTTCAGTTGTAAGGCTTCCGTTCCATCTTCCTGGAAAACAAAATGTTGTATACGGAGCAGATGATGATATTGAAGATGTCCTCAACAAACAATCTGTTTCTTCTTCGATGTTCTTATCTTGGATGAGCTGTAATGAACATAATGAGGATGCACGAAAACTTTCTTATGTTGAGTTTCCTACAAAATTTGTATGGAAACAAGAAGATCGTTGTTGGGAGCCAAGAAAGAAAGGGTTTTCTATTGGGAGGATTCACACAGTTTCACCTAATCTCGGTGAAGCATATTTTTTGAGAATTCTTTTAAATAAAGTCAAAGGTCCAAAATCATTTCCAGATATTCGTACAGTTAACGGACAAGTATGTCCTACTTTTAGGGATGCATGTTATGCTCTTGGACTTTTAGAAGATGATAGAGAATATATTGATGCCATCGAGGAAGCAAGTCATTCAGGATCTGGTTATTATTTACGGTTTCTATTTGCAACTATGTTAAAGTCTAATAGTTTGTCTAAACCGTGTTATGTTTGGGAAAATACTTGTCAATACTTATCCGATGGAATTCTCTACAATCAACGAATAAGATTAAAGTCTCCAGGTATTATTATTTTTGTCATTCATTACATTTTGTACATTACTTATATAATTTTTAAATGCTAAATATACTATTATTTGAAATTTATATGTTTCTTATAAATATTTAAAAGTTTTTTTATACACATTATTTTTATTACGTGATAATTGTCTGTATTTATCTTTTAATAATTAACTCTGCAATTGTATAGGTTTATCCCTTAATGACGATCAACTTAAAAACTTGACGCTATATGAGATTGAAAAAATTCTACTCCAAAACAATTCAAGCCTTAAAGATTTTGTTGGGATGCCTTACCCTGATCATGATTCGATATCTTCTTCAAACAACCGTTTGATTACTGAGGAGTTAGATTTTGATATGAACAGTCTACAACAAGAATCTCATCAACTACTTGATTCATTAACAATTGAACAACGATCAGTTTTTGATGAAATCATGACAGCTGTTAAACAGAAAAAAGGAGGTGTGTTTTTTGTTTATGGCTATGGAGGTACCGGTAAAACTTTTCTTTGGAAGACTTTATCTGCATCTATAAGATCTAAAGGTGATATCGTTTTAAATGTTGCTTCAAGTGGTATTGCTTCATTGTTACTAACCGGAGGTAGAACAAGCACACTCACGCTTTATAATTCCTCTAAATCTAACTGAGGATTCCTTTTGTTCTTTTGCACCGGATAGTGATGTAGCCGAATTGTTAAAAAAAACATCTTTGATTATATGGGATGAGGCACCTATGATTCATAAGCATGCATTTGAAGCCTTGGATCGTTCTTTGAAAGATATATTGAGTTGTGATTTTCGTGGAAACTCAAAATTGCCATTTGGAGGAAAAACAATTGTCTTTGGAGGCGATTTTAGACAAATTCTACCAGTTGTTCCTAATGGAAGCAGGCAAGACATTGTGAACGCTTCTTTAAGTTCCTCTTATATTTGGTCAAGTTGCAAAGTCTTAACATTAACAAAAAAACATGAGGTTAAGTGTTCTCACATCTGATATTCAAGAAACTGAATCTTTTGCAAAATGGATTTTGGATATAGGAGAAGGAAAAGTTGGTGGTTTGAATGATGGCGAGGCAATTATTGATGTTCCCACAGATCTTCTCATTGTTGATTCAGTTGATCCTATTGGTTCTTTAATTGGATTTGTCTATCCTTCTATTGTTGAAAATGCCAACAATCCGATTTATTTTCAAGAAAGAGCAATCCTCGCACCGAAGAATGAAGTCGTTGAAGAGATTAACGAGCGTTTGTTAAAATTATTTCCAGGAGATCCACAAGAGTATTTAAGTTCAGATACTCTTTCTCATGCTGATTTTGTTCATGATGAAGTTGATGAAACTTTATACTCTCTTGATGTTCTAAATGGTCTTAGACCTTCAGGTATGCCAATTCACAAGTTGGTTTTAAAAGTCGGTGTTCCGGTTATGTTACTAAGGAATATTGATCAGAAATGCGGATTGTGCAATGGCACGAGGTTACGGGTTATTGCATTGGGTAAACGTGTTATAGAAGCTGAAATAATATCTGGAAGTAATATCGGAAACCGTACGTTTATTCCAAGAATGACTTTGACGCCTTCGGATAAAAGGATTCCTTTCATATTTCAAAGACGACAATTTCCACTGGCTGTATGTTTTGCAATGACAATAAATAAAAGTCAAGAACAGTCACTATCGAGGGTGGGGTTGTTTTTGAGACAACCAGTATTCACTCATGGACAGTTGTATGTTGCATTGTCGAGAGTTAAAAGTAAAGCTGGATTAAAGATATTAATTTTAGATAAAGATGGTAAACTTACCAACACGACATCTAATGTTGTATTTAAGGAAGTCTTTGGAAATTTGTAATTCATAAAAATAGGTGTCAATATTTTAATAGTTGTTTTTATTATTATACATTAACTTTACTTACTTATTCATCATTTTGTTTTTTTATATGTAGCAAATTTTAATTAATTTGTGTTTAATGTTTACATCATTATTGTCGTCATCATTTTACAAATATGTATCATTTTATTAGGGTCGATATATTGAAATAGTAACTTTATTCATTATAGGATTTTGTATTTATGTAAAATTATTACAAAAAAACATGTAATTCTTGACAATTTATATTAATTTTTTAATAAAAACCCGTGTAATACACGGGTCTCACACATAGTTCTAATAAAAAATGAAAACAAATCGTTTACTAATTGAGTTGCAAATAGATTTCTTTAACAAATATAATAGTTTAATATTATATGTTCAATTCTTTTTTTGAAAAAAATAAAAATAAAGATTAAGGTTTTTATCTAGCCATACTTTAAGAAAAGAAGAGAAACTAAAACAAAAACAATATATTTTTAATTATTTATCTAAAAATCATTACTTTTATTATTATTATTATTATTATTATTATTATTATTATTATTTCAAAAATCATTAGCATTTATCAATATTTTAGAAATACATTCTTGATATGCTATAGCTAAATAACATGTTTTAAGACTACTCTCATTTACAATCGAATCAAATCCAACTATCAATTAATTTTTTTTATATCTTTTTCATCTATTTGATCTAACTAAACCCAAATTTTCACATTCATTAACAACTCAATCAAAATCAAACTTTTATATCATTTATAATTAATTTTTATTAGAGTAAATTGCAAATTTGGTCCCGGTGGTTTACTAAAAAGTGAAGTTTCAGGCCATTTTTTTTCACGCACGGATGCTCCAAAATCAAAACTATCGTGTAGAATTTGTCCCTCGACTTAATTGTCGTTATTTTTTCCAGTTAAGTTAGTCGCATGTCACTCATGTATTTTGTTTATTTTTTGTATTTTAGTGTATTTTATAGACAAACTTATTTTATGTATTTTTTTTATTATTTTTTTAATAAAAATAAAATAAAATAAATTACAAAATAATGTTTATGGTGCAAAATAGTTGTAACAAATAAATAAAATAAAATAAAAAAAAGGCCATCTGAGGTTTGGTGGAGCAAACCTAGGGATGACAAAAAAATTCGAACCCGACGGGAAAACCCCAAACCTAAAGATCTTGGGGCGGGTCACTCTTATCTGGTATCGGGTCAGGTAACAGGTTATTATCGAGTATTTTGTTCGGATTCGGGGCTGAGAGTGGGATGTGTCTGCCCCGACCCGCCGCCCCCGAATAGACACACACACACACGGACGCACGACCCTACCCTTAATGATTGTAACCCTAAAATCATATATCCTTCTCAAACTCCTCCAGCCGACAATCGACATAGCAAAAATCAAAAATTCCTCTGTGGTTTCCTCGCTTCCTCGTTCGTTTTCTTCTACGACTCTTCGTCAATCGTCATTGTCGCATACAACCAGCCACTTTGCAGCAAAACCCACGACGGGTGGGTTTTACTGGCATTTTCATTTTTTTTTAATCAAATGTGGCAACCAACCAAGCTTTTGGTTGCCAATGAGGTAAATCTAGGGGGTGTTTGGGATTGCTTTTTAAAATTTAAAAGGACCTTTGACAAAATGATTTATTAACTCATGATTTTTTTAAAATATGTTTATAAAAGAATGTTTGAATTAGTTTTTGTAGTTGGAAAAGTCAATAAATTAAAAAAAAAGTTTGGCTAGATTTTATATGTAAAATGATCCAAAAATAAATTATTTACTAATAACTTTTCCAAATAGTCAGGTTTATATGACTTCTTAAAACATTTATTTTCTTTTTTGTCAAAAAGTCATTTTAAAAGAGCTTTCCTAGAAGCCAAACATCTTTTTAACTTACTGGTTTTTTTAAATTAATAAGTCAATTTAATAAGCAATCCCAAACACCCACTAAGTATGATCGAGATAGGAAGATAGGGTTTGCCCAAGGAGAAGTTTTAGGGGTTGCGAGAGAAACAAAAATAATAATAATAATAATAATAGTTATGGTGTCCCGATTCAAGAAGGAAACAAAGGAGAAAATAGAGGCAATTCTGAAAGGAAGTGATGCTGGAAAGGGGGAGATGCAGGAAACATCATTCCCTCCTCCTTGATATGTGATTTCATGTTTACCTTCCCGCTTCCTTTTGGGAAGCATATTGTGCACCCTTAAATATTAGACCTTAAATATTATTATTATTATTATTATTATTATTATTATTATTATTATTATTAATTCCCCTATTTTTCTAGTTTTAATATTAATTGTTTTAAAAATAAAATGGTCCAATCATTCACTTACATTTTTCATTTAAAAAACGAATGGTCTTCTATATGTTTGGGCTACATTTTCTATGTTGTTTAAAATGTTTCATTTTTTCACTTTTTGGTTGTTTTCGCTCTTAAAACAACTGCTCAGTATTTATACAATTGTTCGGTTTTCAGTTAAATTTATCTTTAATTAATTATATGTGTTTTCTCCATTAACGACATGCCAAACTGTTGTATAAAACATACAACCACCATGTAGCTCATTAATACAAACTACATATACTGAATAAAAACACCTGAGACAAATGTGATGTGCCTTTTATCTACAATTCTATATGTGAAGTTTTATTTATGGAATAAATTCAATATATTTATTTTTGAGGTTTAATAGGCAAAGCTATATGTGATTAAAAAATGCTTTCGAACTTAAGGTATGGTGTCACCTTCTTTATGAGATCGAAAGTTCAAATCTCACTAGAATAGAAATAGATCAGATTTACCCATGATTTTATTAATTATTTGATAAAAAGATACTCAATACAATAAAGATGCAATTAACTAAATTTCAATTGAACAAGAACATGCCTGGATGCATCAGTTCAAGTGTGTATTAGATTGGATATAGACATAACGACGAAGATGTTTTAAACATGAAAAATCAATTTTGTATTAAAAACTTTTGATTTTAAATATTTTGTGTTTTTTTTTCGAGTTACGAACATATAAACCAGAATATCAAACTTGATTAGATATATCATATATATAGATGATGGGTGATACAGAGATATGCACATCAGAGCTTGATCTTTTATATAAAACGAAAAAACCAAGCCCTCAATCGAGCCTAATTTTCAAAAAAAAGTTTGACTTTAATTCCTACCAATTAGGGGAATTGGATCCATCTTGCTGGATGAATTCAAACTTACGTGTTAAATCCTCTTTCTACATGAACATCTGATCCAGTACGACGACGAGTGCCATCGCAACCGTTGGATCAATCTCAGGCTGCTGTACAATTAGACGGAATACATCTCCGCCAAAACCCACACCTCCCACAGCTTCCTTGGCCCTAATCTCAGCCACGCGCCGCCGCTTCTCATCATAAACACCGCAGCACCTCTGCGAATACGATCCTTCAATCTCGTACATCACCTTCTTCGTCCTCGATCCTGGAGCAGGAACACTCACGTGCGCCAGGGATTTCGTGCCGAGGAAGTTAACGTGTTTCGTCACTGTGAACCGAGGATTCGCCGTCGTTTCTCCGTCGAACACTACCCAATTGTCCAATAGACTTAGCCGCTGTCGGATTAACAAACCATGTTAATCACTCATAATTTTTGATAGATTCATACACAGCCGGAGAATAAATTAAAAACAAAATTAATATTCATGATGACGAAATATATACCTTACGGCGGATGGTGAAAATAGAGCGACCGGATGCGTCCATAAGGACGATCTCAGCATTGCCTCCGGCGGTGTAGTTGTCGACTCGAAATACGAGATTGCCATTGGAATCGAAGACTGTAAATCCATAACAGTTGAAGAGCAGAGACTTCTTCCAAACGGTGAGGACAATCGGAGTATCGGCGGCGACGGACGGCGGTTCCTTGGTCTCGAGAACAATGGCATTAGGGTAAACCTTAGTCATGACCATGTACTAATTTGGTGTCTGGTACTCGGAGAGAGAGAGAGAGAGAGAGAGAGAGAGAGAGAGTAGAAGGATCTTATCTAAGGATTGAGAAGATGAAGGGGGTTTTATATTCCAACCATTCCCAACAATACGTTTATTTTATATTAACTTTTTATCAGTAGATACTTGATGAAAGACTGTAGTACCCTCAAATCTCAATTCAAGGAAAGTGACATCCGAGAAAAGGTGGTGACGAAAAGTCGGTTGACCCTTGCAATTTTGCGTCTTTAAAACTTAAAAGAGTCATTATTTTCATAATTATGTTTACGCCAAATTATTGGGCCCTATTATAACCAAATATAAGTGTTTTTAGTATTTATATTTATTAACTTATGATTGATTTATTATTAAAAATTATAGAATTAAGGTGACGTTTGGGCCTTATCTTTATCTAATGGGGTTGGAATTGGTATTGCTAATTTGAAATACTTGTTGAATTATCAAGCTTGACACTAATTAAATATTTAAAATTTTGTATTAGAAATATATCAAAAATATTTATTTATTTAAATAAATAGTTTTGATTAATATATATATTTTTTAAATTTATCCACTTAAATGGTTAAATTTTAATAAATTACATTCTCATTAGCATATTTTGTCAAACACTAAAAAATAGTTTGCATGTTTATTATGTTTTTGTGTGGGATAAAATAATTCAAAACATTTTTAATAAAACTACGTTCTAATGATAAGTTAAAGATAACTTCACAAAAAAAACATATGTTGAAGGTTGTGTATATGTTGAGTATCCACATGCTTGAAACAATGAAAGATAAGACCTTAAAACAAACTAGGAAATCGTAATAAATGGAAAAATGATCACTGAAATTATAGAGAATATATTTTAAATGGTGTGTCAGATTCCTTATTTTCCTTATTGATATCTCCCGACATAGTATAGGTTAAAAGGAAATTATGGAATTCCCTTGAATCAAATTATATAAGTGAAGATGCTTCTAGCAATAACTTCTTAGTTTGTGATTCTAAAAACTATAAAATGATTGATTCAAGGTCTATCATGGAACAATAAAATGAACTCATTCGTTTTTGGGTCAAATTACATTAGGCATGACGAATATGGATGAATCCATTATTGTTTCGAGTGTGATTGATACAAAATACATTGACCTCATTTTGAAAAGATTTCAAACATACATTAAAAGATTTCAAACATACATTGAACCATCAAAATGAAGATATGTCATTGATTCAACTTGGTAGTTATATATACCTCAATTTTAGAGATGCTAGTTTCATTCGCAGCTTAGCCATAAAGAGAGCCGAAAACGCTGTGAATTTGATGCGTCTTCTTCAACAATTGTCTGACCCCCAGAGTGAGCTCATTCTGCTTCGGTCTTGTATGGGTATTGATAAGCTTTTCTTTTGGCTGAGGACGTGCCAACCCGTTCACATGGAGGAGGCGGCACTATTCTTTGACAATGGGTTACGCGGGGCGATTAAGGACATTGTGGTTTGTAGTGGCCCTTTCTTTGGCGACTTACAGTGGCGAATTGCTTCCTTACCCATTAGGTTTGTAGGGTTGGGTTTATACTCGGCAGCAGAGGCTACCTCATATGCTTTTGTTGCCTCAAGGGCCCAATCTTGGGTATTGCAAGACCACATCTTACGAGATAACGACATATATGGTATGGATTCTGATTATGATTGTGCATTGGCATCTCTTCTTAACAAGCTTCCAGATTTTGACCTCAACAGTTTTACTACTAAAGACACTGCCCCACTAAATCCCAGAATACACTGGCGAGTGCCCTTTTTTGTAAAATTGTCCAAGATATGGAAGTGCATCTCGACATGACGGATCGGCAAAAAGCGGTTTTCCAATGCCTACGTGCACCACATGCTCAAGATTTTCTTTTAGCTATCCCTATAGATGGGCTTGGACAACATATGTCTCCCGTGGAGTATCGTACTATCCTCAAATATCGACTCATGATTCCCATATTCCCAGCTGACGAGATATGTCTGTTGTGTCGCAAGACATGTTTGGACTCTTTTGGAGAGCATGCAGTTCACTGTAAAGAACTCATGGGGTTCAAATACAGGCACAATATGGTTAGGGATGTTTTGTTTGACATATTTAAGCGTGCCAGAGTTTCCGCTAAGAAAAAGGCACCTGTTAATTTCTTGACTGACCCGACAGAAGGAAGGTCAAACCTCAGATCGACTGACATTTTGATTTTTGGATGGATCGGAGGGAAACACGCATGTGTGGACCTTACAGGGGTATCCCCTCTCGTGGGCTTGAGGGATGGGGGGCGGGACAGGCTGCTTTAAAAGCAGCTACAGGCAAAGTCACCAAACATGAGAAATCGTGCATGGAAAATCAACACGTGTTCATACCATTTGCATTTGATACGTTTGGTTTCCTTGCGTCGGATGCGGTAGAGCTTCTTAATAGAGTGCAACGGATCATGCATAGTAATGTTATACCCCTTAGAACTTCGCATGTAGTCTTTAAAAGAATTAGTTTTACCATACAAAAGGCTTAACGGCGCAGCTTGTTGCCTGTTTGTCATCTCACTCATTGTACGATGATAATTAAATGGATTTGGATCAATATATATATATATATATATATATATATATATATATATATATATATATATATTCTAATAAATGAATAGTTTTAATCTCCTTTTACCAAGTGTCATTCTAATACAACTCATCATTAATATTATGTCATGTGTCATGTAGATATATTAGACAACTCATTTCAAAATTCAAATTTACATTTTCTAATTATATGTTAAATTTGAAGTTATAATAACTTTAAAATTTTGATATATCTCTTAATTAATAATTTATTTAAAATGATTTATTTAAAATAATTGATTAATAATTATAAATTTTTATTATGAAAGTTTAATTAATTTTATAACCCGTGATCCACACGGGTTATAAATTAGTGTGTGTGTATATATATATATATATATATATATATATATATATATATATCTATATATATATCTATATATATATATATCTATATATATATATATATATACCTCAAAAAATATATTCGAGTGTAAGAAAATGAAAATGAAATTGTAAATTTGAATATGGACATCTTCAATTAATGTGGTTAAGGAAAAATAGACCAATTCAAACAAAAAAAAGAAGGGCAAGAAACATAAATTTTCCAGTCAAGACAAATCAAACAAAATGTTGAAATTTTGTGTGTTAAATATGTCAAAAGCTGGGTCATTATAAGAATGTTTGAGTAGTCAAGTTGAACAATGGTGTTGGAACATATAGTAGTGCACAAGGGTCTAAGGACTGAGCTCCACCTAAATTTCAGATTTAATTATTCTTGATAATTTTGTTAAGAATTATGTTGCACTTATTCTTTAGTCTTTTTGTGTGTATGAGGATGGTTATTCTTAATGGATTAAATCAGGGGATACAATCCATATTCTCAAAAATAAAAGTTGGTTTGAAAAATTGTCATCAGTTGAAGATGGGTTTGTGCTAAATAAGAGAAACTAGTCGAGTGTATCGATTTGTGGGATTAGAGATATTTGTTTGCAGTTTATTTCTAGAAAATATATTAAGCTATTTGATATTCTATATATATTACAAGGATTCAAAATAACCTTATATTTGATCTTTTATTTGTACCAAGTATTTCAAAAGAACATTGTGTTCAATGTTTGTTTTAACAATTTAGGCTACAGAAAAATTAATGAATTGTGAAGGGATATTCCAAGGTTGTCAAGATCGGGATCCTACGTAGGATCGTTTTTGAGTTTGCAAGATCGGGATCGGGATCCTAAGATCTCACAAGATAAAATATAATTTTAATTTTTAATTTTTAAACATGAAAAATATTTCAAACATTCAGTTTTTCGTTCAAAAGTTATAAAAACTTCAAAATATTTGTCATAAGTCACAACACAAAATGAAAAATGGTAAATTGGTAAAGGTAAAAAACATAAAATGGTAAAAAAAATTCATATGCAAAAAAAAAAAATCAAGGGAAGGTAGGATCGGATCGGATCCCAATCCTACCTACGATCCTACCCCAAATACGATCCGTTTACGATCCGGATTGTTTTTCATACCTAGGATCGTATGATCCTACGATCAGGATCGCGATTTTGACAATCATGGTATATCCTATCTTATTGTGACATGTTTATTGGATTTGGTTATTTATATAACTGTTAATAAATTGTCTTTTATAGATAACTTTGTTTACATGTCATTATCTTCTTCATCCTCTTATAAATATTATGATTACATGCATTGGCATGTTATATTCGGTAATGTATATCTTGAAAAAATCTATACAATATCAAAAGATGACTTAAGTATAACTTTTGGAATCATTGCTCAAAATATAAGAGTTGTATGCTTTCAAAGGTTATAAAAAACATATTGCAAATTTTGAAAAAAAAAATGGATGTTTTAAATTTAGTACATATTGTGTGATTTCCTTTGAACTTCTTCCTTAGGAAATAAAATATATTTAGTTACTTTTACTGATGATTCCACTTGGTCTTGTAATGTATATATTTTACATTGAAAACTTTGATATATATATATATATATATATATATAAACACACTCAAAACTAAGGTTCGATTGAAATTTGGAAATTCAGTTAAATGTAGATAAGTGATCATGGATGGGAATATATGGATCTTCAATATTTGCAATTAGTTGACATCATTCATGAGACTACCACTCCATACACACCATAACACAATGGTATTGCAAAATGGAGAAGTTGAGTTTTGAAAGAAATTGTCAACTCAATGCTATCTTAGTCAGGCTTGAGTGAGCGCGAGAGATCCTATGTTAGTGATCTAAATATAATTCTAATAAAAGGACCATAACAACCTTGTGTCAACTTTGGATAAAAAAAACTCCAAATTTGAGCTATTTTCATATTTGAGGGTGTCATACATTGAAAATTTACCTAATCCAAAAATGAAAACTTTGGGATATAGAAGAATAAATTGCATATATATTGGAAATGTAAAAAAGGTCATAA